ACTTTTTTAAAAAAAAAGTGGTCTCCAGAAGAAAATATTGAAGATAGCACTGAAACTTTGAAACATCCCAGCTAGAAAAAAGTAAAAATAAATTTTAAGCTAAAACAGGAGAAATTAAGAAATGGAAATCTTACAAATGAAATCCATTAAAGCAGTGCACAGAGAAGAGGGTAAGCCCCCAACTGTTGTTTAAATTGCAAATGCCACCCCAACTCCTGTAAAAAAACCTGAAGATAAGACTCGAGGCTTTGATAGCCTTGGTACATGCAGCTGTAGCTACAGAAATCCCATCCCAAGTCCGTGTCATGCAAATGTCCTTGACATATGAATTGGGAAAACAAAAATAGCACATTTAGTGTCTTATAACAAAGGTAACTTAAATTAAAAAATGAACAGTACTGTACAATTCAGTTTGTTTATGTGCTGCTGGTAATTGTAAAGTCACGTTCTTAAGTAACTATGTTATGGTACTTGCTTTGGCTTGATCAGTCTGCACTCTGCCACGGTCATGTTTCAAATGGGGAGAGAAGATGTCATCAGGACTCCCCATGGCCACGTCACCCAACCACAGGGAAGGGAAACTATGCTCCATGATGTCTGTCATTGCCACATGATCTCTGCAGTTGAATATTATCAGAGCATAGGTAAGAAGCGATTGTTCACTGCACAGATTGTATATAAGAAGGGATTGTATAGTGCATGGATAATGTAAGGAAATAGGGACTCGGGTGGCGCTGTGGTGTAAACCACTGAGCCTAGAGCTTTCTGATCGGAAGGTCGGCGGTTCGAATCCCCACGATGGGGTGAGCTCCCGTTGCTCGGTCCCAGCTCCTGCCAACCTAGCAGTTCGAAAGCACGTCAAAGTGCAAGTAGATCAATAGGTACCGCTCTGGCAGGAAGGTAAACAGCATTTCTGTGCGCTGCTCTGGTTTCAGCAGAAGTGGCTTTGTCATGCTCGCCGCATGACCTAGAAAAACTGTCTGCGGACAAACGCTGGCTCCCTTGGCCTGTAAAGAGAGATAAGCGCCACAACCCCGGAGTCGTTCGTGACTGGACTTAACTGTCAACAGTCCTTTACCTTTACCTTTAATGTAAGGAAGGGTTTTATGTATGGAAACAGGGAGTGGTGGTCTTTTTTTGTATTAATTATGGCAGTGTAACCTTGCATATGTAGTTTTTAAACAGGGCTCACAGTAGTTGCAGTTTTAGCACATGCGCCCACAGAGGCCTCCTCCCCCCGCAGTTAGACTTTCAAAAAAGCATCCTACTATAGCCACTATGAGGGGCTGTGGTGACTGCTTCGTTGCTGTGTTTGTGCCCATGATATTTCATCCTGTTTTTAAATCATAGAATTACTGGAAGAGTGAGGAAGAAGACACAGCTTCCCCTCCACTCTCTACTGCCTACCAAAAATAAAATACAGTACCTACTGGATTTCTTGGGGGTAGAGGGTCCATTTCTACAAGAAAGCTTTCTGAGACTGTCTACTTTTAGAAATACAGTGGTACCTTGGGTTACATACGCTTCAGGTTACAGACGCTTCAGGTTACAGACTCCGCTAACGCAGAAATAGTACCTCGGGTTAAGAACTTTGCTTCAGGATGAGAACAGAAATCGTGCTCTGGTGGCATGGCAGCAGCAGGAGGCCTCATTAGCTAAAGTGGTGCTTCAGGTTAAGAACAGACCTCCGGAATGAATTAAGTACTTAATCTGAGGTACCACTATAGAAGGATTTATCAGCATTTAAGTATCATGACTATAGTGTGGCTAACAACAACAACAACAAAATTGTATCAGGTATTGCTTTATTAAAATATCAGGTATGTGAAATTTTAGTCCCATTGTCAGTTTTAATCACAACACGAAGACTCCTTGATTTTAAATCACATTCTTTAATCATGTTTTTGGTTTGTATTTTTTAAATTTTATTTCCCTAAAGGGGAGATGCATTCTCAGTTGATACGCTCTCGTGAAAGCGTGTTGATTTGACTATTTACAAGTAAATTAACCTCCTGCCTTAGATTTCAGGTTCGTTAACTATTGGCGAGGAGAGTCAAAAATTAAATACCCATATTTATGGTATTACGTAGCTTAACATAAATTTATTCAGAATTTCTACCTTGCATTATTGCAGAATAGTTATTTCATTTTCCCCCTTCTAGATAATTAGTGCTTTATTCACTCCTCTCCCTCTCACCACCTCCCTCTCCCTCTTGACAAGTGGCAATTGAATGGAAATTGGCATTCCCTTCCAAGGCACAAAAGCAGCATTTTAAAGTTCTGTTTAAAAAAAAAAAATATTCGTTACATTAAATTACTTTAAATGTGGGTGATTATGCATAAGACAAAGAATGAAAACTAAATATTTCAGCTCAACTGAGATGAAAAATAATGATTAGGCTAAAAGTTTTGTACTTACATGTAATAGTTTTCCATTAATCTGAGAACAATCAGTGGGAAACTGAATGGTATTCGCTAGCACATTTGAAAATTGTAGCTTATTGTGTACCCAGCTCACTCTAGGAGCACATATTTGGAAGCAGGGAAATAACTCCTCCGTGTGTGTGTGTGATGCATATAATATATCATATCCATGGATACCCTCCCAAATCCCAAGCATTATTATTATTAATTTTATTAAGTATAGATTGCTGCACATAATAGTTTCAAGGCTATGTACAATGAAAATAGCAAAAACAGTTAAAATTACAAAAGTAGTAGATATATTTAAAATGAAACAAAAAAAACACACACACACACACACACTATATATATATATATATATATATATATATATATATATATACACACACACACACACACACACACACACACAGTCCCATTCACACAGCTGGGAAAGCCCACTGGAACAAAAATGTGTTTCCTGAAAGTGCAGACTACGTGTTGCTGCTGAATCTTGACAGGAATGCTATTTCGCAGAACAGGGGCAGTTACACAGAAAGCCCCTTTACAAGTTACGGTTGAAGCCAGCCAGCCCAGGTGCAAAACCAAAAGAGAATGGATCCAAAAGACACACAACTTTTGGTTGTGCACTCTTTTGGTCCTGCTTAGGTGAAATCCCGGGATGGAATCAGAAGCTGGGGCAGCTTCTGTAATTCCAGGATGTCCCAGTAAAAACAGAACAGTTGCCCAGTATGAAATCCTAAGTGGATGAAAATGTTCCTACAGTTAGGGGCTCTCCGTGATGCCCCCTGGATTCCAACTAAGTATGCTGGCAGATGTGCACACTCTTATAGGTGTGTGGACTGTTGAATATGTGAACTAGGCCATTGCTTAACCCCGCCTCCTTCCATCCTGCAGAATGCCTCATTTTGGGGCATTCTACTGATCGCCGAAGAATTGATGCTTTTGAATTATGGTGCTGGAGGAGACTCTTGAGAGTCCCATAGACTGCAAGAAGATCAAACCTATCCATTCTGAAGGAAATTAGCCCTGAGTGCTCACTGGAAGGACAGATCGTGAAGCTGAGGCTCCAATACTTTGGCCACATCATGAGAAGAGAAGACTCCCTGGAAAAGACCCTGATGTTGGGACAACACAAGGAGAAGGGGACGACAGAGGATGAGATGGTGGGACAGTGTTCTCGAAGCTACCAGCATGAGTTTGACCAAACTGCAGGAGGCAGTGGAAGACAGAAGTGCCTGGCGTGCTCTGGTCCATGGGGTCATGAAGAGTCGGACACGACTAAAAGACTAAACAACAACACTGACTGCCATTGGTGGGCAGCCCACCAATCACACTGACATTTGGCAGGAAGAAGGGGGCATGACATAATGATGGAATGGTGCTTTCATCACTCTGTCATCAACTGTCTTAGCTAGAAGAGCTGGGTGAAGAGACCCCTCTGCCAAATCCAAATCCCCACAGTAAATGTCCAGTAAATGTGGTTTAGGGTGTGTGTGTGTGTGTTAAAAAGAATTCTGGTGTTAGAGCACCAGAACGATATTCTTCCCATCCAAATGCTCTTCACATGTTGGTTGAACTGGAGCCATTTCTCAGCATTTTACACAAGTGGCTAGATCCTGCTGTGAGGCTGATTGTCTTCCTAGGAGTCAGGGCACATGTTCCAAACAGGATAAAACAATGATGTGCAAATTGGAAAAATAAAAACTCTTGCTGAGCAGCACCAAGGAATCTGGCAATGTCATCATCAGAAGCAACACTAATTTGAAGTTCTATTTTGACAGATGGTTGAAATTACAGTTAAAAAATGTTTGTGTGTGATCAGTGCATGTGTTGGGCTCCCAGAGACTTGTGGAGAGCCAAACCTACCTCGTACTGCAAATTTCAGGCAGAATATGCTTTGGCTGGCATCAAGGGCAAACAGAGGGGAGAGATGTTTGTAGAAACAATTCCAAAATACAACAGGAACTGAGTATCTTAGCCGATGAACCTTCCTTTTATTGTGCAACCAGGCAATCCATGGGACGCTGTGTTAATTAGGGAAGAAGAAGGAAAACATGCATTCCCTTCTTTGTAGTGCCTTCCTCACCTATGAAGAATTTGCTCCTAATCCCATCTGAAGGCAAGCCATCAGCTCGACTGGATGGCTCTTCAGATGGAGCAGCTGTTTATCACTGGCACGCATTACCAACGGCATGTTTGATAGCTTTGAACTACCAGCCAGGATGTTACTACCAGCCATTTGCTAAGGGAGTAGGAAGGCAATGAATAACACTCCCTCTGTTAGTAAAGCGGATATGCCTTGTACAGATTTGCTTGATGCTAAAATGGGCAGAAAACCCCCCCAGAAGTGAGCTTCTACTTAGGGAAAAATAAAAATGAGGTGCCTAAATAAAGCATTAGCTTTACTGAAGCTCCCCAGAACTGGAGCTGGGGAATCACTAGGCTGCATTTGTACATCCTGAGAACCAATGGGGTTCAGGTGATAGGGGTTGCAGTTAGAAACCTTATGTGCCGATATCTAGCACCATGTCCTTAGTATTAGCCAGAGGGGTGGAAGTGCTGTATGGGAAGACGCATAGCTCAGAGGCAGAGCATCAGTTTTGCATGCGGAAAGACCCAGGTTCAATCTCTGGCATGTCCAGGTAGAGCTGGGAAAGCACTCTGTCAGAAATCCTGAAGAGGTGCTGACAGTCAGTACCGAACTGGATGGATCAGGGGCCCAGTTCCCTATAAGGCAGCTTCCTAAAGTCCTAAATGTTGGCCCAGTGTCTTGGGTGTATGTAAGTAATATTCTGAATTCCCAACATACATCACATAGGTGGTTTTAAACTGCTTTCAGGGTTGCGTTTTAGTTGTTGTAACCTGCCCTGGAAGCTTAGAGTGAAGGGCACATAATCTCTGCAGAATGGAAAGGATTCAGAGAAAACTGGAGGCGCACAAAAACGTGTACCGATGTTCACAGAGATTTTTTTAAATTATTAATAATAATTATCTCAAACTAACTTGGCAATGGGGCAAACTCCACTTAAGATTGGAAAGGTTGAGAAACTGAAGTTGCTGAGCAACAGTGTGCAGAGCTTGGTGGAGTGTGAGGCCAAACAAACAGAAGTGAAGAGTCTGAGATACACCTGGTAGAGTCAGCATACAAAGTCAAGTCCACTCCAAGGATCAGGCAAACAGCAATCCACAGTGGTCAGGAATCTGATGATCATGAAGGCAAGGGTCCAGTCCATAGCCGACAACGTTTTCCCTTTTTAAAGGGAAATTCCCTTATTCCGAATAGGATTCCTCGCAAGAAAAGGGAAAAGTTGACAGCTGTGGTCCAATCAGAGAGCGGGCAGCGGCAAGGTAAGGGCTGGAAACCATAGACATTATTTCCAGCATTTGACTGCTGCTGCTGAGAGCTCTGTTTAAAAAGGCTGAAGCCCGCTAGTTCTCATTAGTGCCTTCTCCTCTGTGTCCTTGAAGGCTGATCAGCTGCAGGTGGATTCGCTCCACCTCCTCTCATTTCAGGCTGCTGTTCAGCAGGTGAAGCTGACCCCTGGCCCATGACAGAAGCCCAATTCAGGCATTCAGGATGTGACTTGAGTGCACACAGTGGGAGTATGCCTAAACAGACCTACTCACCATCCATTAGGTCCAGGGCAACTGTCCGCAGCAAGGAAGCTACTCATGGAAACTTTTGCACTGCTCAGAACCTTGGAAACGTAGGTCCCAAAATGCACAGGAGCCCCCACACATATAGGAGGCTTCACAACTGCAGACATTCACCCTGGAACAGGTGGAGAGAAATGGCGAGAGAAATGGGAGGCAGAACTAGTGTTCACATGCACACCACCCCTTCTCCTTTGCTAACTTAAGTCACATTCCTAATGCCCAAAAAGCTGAAATTGACAGATTCATCCATTCCTACCTGTGGGATAGGAGAACATTGGCCTGATTTAAAGCTGTTGTTGTTGTTTAGTCATTTAGTCGTGTCTGACTCTTCGTGACCCCATGGACCAGAGCACGCCAGGCCCTCCTGTCTTCCACTACATCCCGCAGTTTGGTCAAACGCATGTTTGTAGCTTCAAGAACACTGTCCAACCATCTCGTCCTCTGTCGTCCCCGTCTCCTTGTGCCCTCCATCTTTCCCAACATCAGGGTCTTTTCCAGGGAGTCTTCTCTTCTCATGAGGTGGCCAAAGTATTGGAGTCTCAGCTTCAGGACCTGTCCTTCCAGTGAGCACTCAGGGCTGATTTCCTTCAGAATGGGTAGGTTTGATCTTCTTGCAGTCCATGGGACTCTCAATAGTCTCCTCCAGCACCATAATTCAAAAGCATCAATTCTTTGGTGATCAGCCTTCTTTATGGTCCAGCTCTCACTTCCATACATCACTACTGGGAAAACCATAGCTTTAACTATACAGACCTTTGTCTCTGCTTTTTAAGATGCTGTCTAGGTTTGCCATTGCTTTTCTCCCAAGAAGCAGGCGTCTTTTAATTTCGTGGCTGCTGTCACCATCTGCAGTGATCATGGAACCCAAGACAGTAAAACCTCTGACTGCCTCCATTTCTTCCCCTTCTATTTGCCAGGAGGTGATGGGACCAGTGGCCATGATCATAGTTTTTTTTATGTTGAGCTTCAGACCATATTTTGCGCTCTCCTCTTTCACCTTCATTAAAAGGTTCTTTAATTCCTCCTCACTTTCTGCCATCAAGGTTGTGTCATCTGCATATCTGAGGTTGTTGATATTTTGTCCTTACATTTGTAGCGTCACCAAAAACACCTAACTTAAATCTGCCATTCCTTCCACGTGCCCTGTATCTACCTCTTTCACTTTCAGAGTTCCTGAAGTAATATATATTTTGCTAGGATGCCTTTTAGTTAAGACTAGACTAGAACACATTTCAGGTAACAGCAATAGATGTGTTATCCTCTGTAAATACCTGCTTTGATACATTTCTTCTTTGTCTTAACTCTCTAGGCCTCTAATTTTGACAATTGGTTTCAGCTCTGGCTTTTGTTGATATAAGGTACATTTCAGTTTTCTGTTTTGACACTTAACCGAACACCACTTTCATTCTTCTCTGATAAAAGAACCATTTGCCTGACTTAAACTTGCAGTGACTCTCAGCAGAGGAAATCAATATTCATTTATATAACAGTTACCCTAGCTGACAATGCAAACTAGTAATCTTTTTTTTTTTTATCATGCATGTATACATGTGTGAGAGAGACAGGGGCAGCAACGTTGGTCCAAGTGCCTAATCTTGCACCTTGCAGTTGAATCCCAGCCAAATACAGGATCTCAGTTGATGATTAATTTTAAGGTAGGGGTGGTTGGAGAAATTTGTTTGGTCCACTTTTCACAGCGCTCTCAAACTTCTTTGCAGATTAGAAGGCAGTTCCTACTTGGATTATACACTTCTCTCTCTTTCTTTAATGAATCTTTGGTGCACAAAAAGTGCACCTAAAACTATGTATTTTACAGTACTTTAAAGATGCATGCAAAATCTGTATATTACTGGAAAATGCATTGAAAAAGCCTGAACGTATGCATTTTACGTAAAAAGTACATTTTTTAAAAAAAAAAGTACACAAAATGCATACAATGAGACAGAAAGGCATTCAACAGGATGGAATAGGATGCAAAGACATTCAGTTGGATGGAACAGACCCATGCTTGACTGCCAGTAAGATCAAAACAGGACAGAATTAGCTGTCACATAAATTCTCATATGCAGGATTTTCTGAAATTGTTATTTGACTGCAGTTGTGTTGATGCTGGAGTCTGAAGATAGTTGTGCATCTGTTTGTGTTTGTGTTATTTTATTTTTACCCGCTTTGCAAGCAGGATTAACTACCAAAGCACCCAATAACCCAAATGCACAAATAACAATGCAATTTATTCATGACATGTGGAGGTGGTCACAGTAACTTTCTGGTCTCTGGTTATAATCCCAGTTCTAGATTCTTCCCTCCATTACAATAGACTTCCATGGGAATCTACTAAACTAAAACTCAATTACAGCCATAAAATAAATAAGCTGCAACAGCATAAGATTATATTGAGGATGTATGTGATTTTGTTGTGCACATTAGCTGGCTGGAGAACTGCACTGCAAAATTCACAGAAATGCAAATTTGGAAGGACGGATGTGTTTGGGTTTGTGTATTGCTTCAGAAAGTATGAATTAGGTAGGTGGCTTTTAAATGCAAACTGAATCACATTTCACACCCATTCCTTGTGGTACTGCATCCTCTCCCTGCCACCATATATGTTCTGGCTGCTGATTTATCCCCTTTGTATACCCAGAGTACCCATAGGAAGAATACAAGTGCCACAGTTCTTTTGAATTAGTCAGGTTCAAGTCCCCACTGAAGTTTCCTTTGAGTTTGGTTACTTTTATTTTTTAGTGTATTCTGTATACTGAAAGGAGCAATTGAGCTGTGTTTGCATTGGAGGAAGGGATATTCATCGCAGTGGGACATTAATATTGATGTACCAATGAAAGGGGATTGTATTATGTTGTAGGACTTTATAACAGGTGCTACACTGGACATTGTTGCAGGTTGGATGTTTTGTATGAATTGCATTATATTTGGGTTAATGTAATGCATTATTTCATTAGTGTGAGGTGGCAGGCTTTCATACACATTGTGTTATAAAGTAATTGAAACCTAATGGATTGCAGCTTATGCTTTGAGCTGGGAAGCCTATCTTTAAAATACTACTGTGACTATTACTACTAATAAAAATCAGGGCTCTGCCATCTGTTTTAATTTGATTTGTTTTCTGCATGGTTCCTTTCCCTCTATTTTTTTTAAATAGTGATTTGTGATTCTATCATGGTTTTGTACTCGTTTTATTTTGTTGTTTTATTTTGTTTTGCTTGTTTTGTATCTGCGTATATTAGGACCAATCTAAAAGGGCCTGATCTGGCAGTTTGGAGGAGCATCAACACAAGCTTGGGTTGACCTGATCTGTGTCCAAGCCCTGAATTGATTTGGGAGCCAGCCCTAACGTTTAACAGGGGTTTAAAACCCTATTAAAACATGCACTTGGGAGGAGTGAGACGAAAGAAGTAAACACAACATTTCTTTCTCTCTGTGCCCCTAAACCAACTGTGTGCTTAATCAGAGGTATAAAAAACTAATTAAAAGTACAGCCAGGAGGGGATGAGGTGAAAGAAGGCAGCAAAGGGTCTTCTTTTCCCCTCCCAACTGCACAGTAAAGAGCACGATTCAATTTCCTGCTCAGCAGCTGGTGAGTGAAAGGTTCAATCCTACTGGGCTTACTCCCCCTCTGTGTTTCCTTTGGGGAACAAGCTCATGAAGCAGTCCCTGCAGCCAGCAGGATTGCATTCTCCACTCACCAGCCCAGTAACATCTGGAGGCACCATGTTGGCTACAACTTCTCTGGCTACTGAGTAGCAATGCATTGGTTTGATTCCATACCTCCAGAACCAATGGAAACATTGTTGTACAAATTACTTGGCTGGAGAACTGCATTGCAAAATTCAGAGAAGTGCAAATTTCAAAGGATGGCTGTGTTTGGGTTCTCATTTTTGTTCTTTAGAGTTTCAGTTAGGGCTCTACCTTTAAATATGAATTGAACCAAATTTCCCTTCCACTCCTAATTGCAATAATCAATTTGTA